CGGCCCCTTCCCCAGGGGGCCCGGGTATCCATAAAGGATTTCCACACGTAAAAAAAAAAAAATGGGTGGCCACCATTAAGACCGCGAACTCGGTGCTGAGACGGCCGATCGCGAAGCTTGTACCGTTACCGGTCAACGACGGGGCCCAAAGGGGCTAACTGATACCTGATCGTTCTCGGGCCGACCCGCGAGTTTCGTACGGCGGGCGGTCCATCATTGCATATCCGTCTGTTTCCGTCGCAAGGACGAGGCGGGCGGTATGTTCCGACCTCGGTGGAACGTTCTCGGCGCTTTCTGCCGATTGCTCGGTGGATCGTTCTCGGCGCTTTCTATCGCCTTCCCGGGTATCATACTTGCCCGTAAATATTGTGAGCATGATGCCGCCCGGCTCGCGTTCTTCCCGCCCCATCCCCCGTGCCCGGGTGGACCGAGTAGCCTAGTGGCCGGGGGCGTGGGGGACGGGGGTGCAACGAGGCCGGGCGGCAGCATGATTCGGCGAAGTCCTCGCAGTCTACGCGGAACGACGAAAATAGGTTTGCTTATCGCTGCTCTCGGAACTCTCGTCCGTTTTTTCTCGAAAGTCTCGCGTTCCCGCGCACGAGTGCTCGAACTCGCAGTCGCGCGTATCCGACTCGGATAGCCGATTGCACCTGTAAACGTGCAATAAAGAACAGTGCAATAGACCATCGGAGTGATCCTTTAAACTGTGCTCGTCGCTCTTATGTGTGGCTGCCGTGAGTTCCTTCCGCCCGGCGCCCTCCAGCTCTCCCGCTCCTATTAACGACCGGTCTTTCTCTTTGTGGACCCCGCTGCCTGATCGGGCCTGATCGGCAAGGGTGAAACACAAGGGTTATTTCAATGAGCTGTGATTTGGCGAAAAAAATAGTAGGAACTTCTTTTTTTTAATTGAAGAGAAAAGTATACACTTTTTGATACCGTAAGCAGAACTGGCGAAGAAAAATTACTAAACTCCGCACAGTGCGTCAAAGTGTACAATTTTTTAGAGAAAAATCATGATCTTGATTTTGAGAAAGTTCCGGGAAATGGGAAGAGTGAATACAAATTCCAATAAGAGCTTCTTAAAGCAGAGGCTTTGCCCTATAAAATGAAAAAAAAACTTTGCAATTCGACCAGTTTCACGAAGTTACACTTATTTGAAATTCGCGAAATTTTGATGTAAATTTCTTGTTGCGTTAATTTTTTTGACCAGTGTATAATCAAATTAAATCAATGTTTATTTTAATAATTAAGATATCAGAACAATCTCCATTCTGTTGTGAAAAAATATTTTAATCGATGTAAAAAAAATTGATGAATATTTTATCGAAGTAAATAAAATATTTTATCACGGTTTTGTCGAAGTAAATAACGCATAAATCTCAGGAAAAAACAAAGTTGTAACTAAAGTTCTCGCAAACTTCATAAAAGCAAACTTTTGTACTAATGGACAACCCCTTTAATATTTTAATCAATGTTTTACCAAAGTACAAAACACATAACTTCTCGTAGAGTCGCGGCTGCTATATTTCTTACAGAATCGATGTCGGTCATCGGATCGATGATCAATGCCCCAGCACACCTCATATGATATAGTAGTCTCTTAATCTCGATGTCTATGTGTTTTCAATGAATCGATGTTGAATCGATGTCGATTTACATTAATGCTAAAACAATTTGATCGAAATTGACTAATTTTCGATGTTAATTTCGATGTCGATCTGTTTTCAATGAATCGACGTCGGATCGACGTCGATTTGACATCAGCCTTCTCACTGGGTACATAGAGAACCTCTAATCAGAGTCTGGCCAACAGAGTGGTCCGCTATGTTTAGTCAAATCCAACGAGAGAGAGGGCAGTACGAATATCTCACTCACTCTTTGAGATATTCGTACTTTAAACGATTTTTTTACAAAATCATTTTTTCCCGACATTTTTAAAGTTTTTGACCAATCAAACTAATACTTTGGAACAATGTTTAGAACAACTTTTTTTTTTTACGAGGTGGAAATCCCTTCGGATCCCCCGCGCCTCCGGGGGGAGGGCGGGGGTATGCGGTGCACGTTAGCCACTAAAACCACCCCGGTTGCCTTCTTCGCGCGCATATATGGCCGGGTCCCGGGAATACGATGTATACTACCGTTACCCGGCCGCGCTACTCTTCCCTGGTGTTCGGGGAGAGTCCTACCTTGCGGCCCACGATGGATGTGGGCCGCGGCGGAGTACAGGGCAACACCGTACTCCGCCCTTCCCTACGGGCCGATACTGGGGGAATGGAGCGCCCCCGCGCTCCATCCCCCAGCCCGTAGGGGTCCCACTAGTGGTCCCAAGCATGGGACCATTTGTGGTGGGACCACCGTCCCCGTGCCCGCGGACACCGCCAGAGATCCCTTATTTGGGTTCTCTGGCTCTGCACCTTTTAGTCGCCTCTTACGACAGGCAGGTGATACCCCGGGCCTATTCGGTAGCGGGACCCGGACGCCTATGTTTAGAACAACTAGAACAACCTGGAACAACCTTAAAAAAGTTCGATTTGCGAAAAGTAGGGTGCCAGGTAGAAAAATCGTTTTTTTCCCGCGAAAATTTCCATGATATAAATTTGATCTTCTGGAACAATTTGGAACAAGTCTAGAACAACCTGGAACAACTTTTAGAATTTTAAAATTCCAAAAATTGGGTGCTAACTTCACACAGGTAATGACTTTGAATAGCTTCCAGGTCACGTAACGATCATCTTGAAATTATTAAACGGATTCCACCCTTTTTCGTTACATATTCTTATAGCTTATCTTAAGAGCTTTTCAAAACTCTACAATAATGTATATTTTGGTTATACAGAGTACTCCGCAACTTTTTGACCGCCGTCCACGGAAAGATAGAGGGAAATAAGACAAAGAGAAAAGTCCTCTACGATTTTGCACTTACAAGGTCGGAAGTGTCCCTCACCGATTTCAATGCGCTTCGGATATGTTGTAGAGCAATCAGAGATATGTTGTATTCGGAACCATAGCCGTTTTTAGTCTGTAACATCGAAACTATCAGTTTCACGTAAAAAATTTATACAATATAAATAATGTATTTTTAAAAGAACTACAACTTATATTTGAAACATTTTTTTGTTACATCAATATTTATCGAAATAATGTCTAAAAATTTAAAAATTTTTAAGTTTTTTGACTTTTTACTTTGAGAATGACCTAGTCGAAAATTTTCATTGTCATATTCGTAATCAGCGTTCAAAAATACAAAAAATAGTGTAGTTTCAAAACAATCAGAGGGTTCACCTATTCGGAACTTTATCCTAAACTTTTAACCCGCTGTACCTATATACGAGCGGATGGACACTTTATCTGTACTACCCTGCATATAGGAAATGACAGGTGCAAAGAACATAAGTTCACAAGTTAAGCTGGTATTACATTTGTCGATATACGACAAATTTTTCAAGCGTGTCGATCGACATGCATATACGTCCGTGTGTGTACTTAATGCGGTGTCCAATAATGCGGTGTCCAATAATAAGGTGTTCAATATTGCAATGTTTGTGTCCAATAATGCCGTGTCCGAAAATGCAGTGCCCAATCTTGCAATGCTTGTGTCCAATAATACGGTGTCCGAAAATGCAATGTCCAATCTTGCAATGCTTGTGTTCAATAATGCGGTGTACAAAAATACGGTGTACAAAAATGCGGTGTCCAAAAATGCAGTGTCGAATAATGCGGTGTCCAATAATGCGGTGTCCAATAATGCAGTGTCCAATAATGCGGTGTACAAAAATGCGGTGTCCAAAAATGCTTGTGTCCAATAATGCGGTGTCCAATGATTTCGGTGCCAATGTGTCCAATAGTGCGTGTCCAATCGACCGGTGTCCAATCGTTACGTGTCCAATAGGAGGTCACCCGTCTCGGATCACTCGTCGACTCTCGGATGAGCCGACGAACCGCGTCGCTTCTGATGCCCGGCTTGGCACTATACGACGCTTCGGGGTGGACGTGTTGTCCTCGGTATGCTTCCCTCTATTCGCCCTCGCCGAATAGCTTGATCAGTCAGGGTCGCGAGCGAGAGAGCGGAAGCACCGTAATCGTAGCTTGAATCGGGATGGGTGTTGTCGCTTGCGAAAGAAAGAGAGTCGTGTTTACAAAGAACGTGTGAGTTTATTCAGAGGTATTTCACTGGCACAGTGTATGTCCGGGATTACGCTACGGACGACCGCGATTTAGCGTCCTTGGCCGTAGCCCGCAGTGTACGCGGCCGCTCGGAATACGGAAACGAACGGGTGTACATAAGTGCGCTGCTGTTCAGAAATACAAAGAAAATGTTGATTACGCGAGTGCTCTGTTGCACGAGAACGACCGGCTCGCTAGCCGCGGAATTCCCGAGCGGGAATTAGTAACGACTCAAAAGATAATGAGTGCGCGAAATCTCAGAAACGAAACTTACACACGTCATTAGGCGTGGGGAACTAAAAACGGTATCGCTAAACGCGAAATTAATAATTAAAATGGAAAATGGTACCGCTGATCGCGAGATTTACAATTGAACGAAAACGGTATCGCTGAACGCGAGATTTACAATCGAAGATGTCGTGATCGCCTCCGTTGAGAACGAGCTTCGGCGTGAATCGCAGAGTTTCGCTGTCGAGACTGCCGGCATGCTACCAGTGAAATTCAGGGACATCCAAAAGGCCACGGGAAATTGCAAAGTTCTTGGTAAGGTCACCGGCTATGTCATGAATGGATGGCCCAAATCGCGAAAGTTCATCACGGACCTGGAAGTTTCAAAATTTTTTGACCAACGGGAGGCTCTTATTCTCATCGATGGCTGCATCTTCTTCGGGGACCGGATCGTTATTCCGGCTCAGTTCCGCTCAAAAATACTCGAGGAACTTCATCGTGGGCATCCCGGAATCGTGCGCATGAAGTTACTTGCACGTAGCAAGGTATTCTGGCCTCTGATCGATAAAGACATAGAACGAACCGTGAAGAGCTGCGAAGATTGTGCAAAAGCCGGAAAGACACCAATCAAGTGTTCCTTGCAGCCATGGTCAGTCCCAAGCGGGCCGTGGTCTCGCATCCACATCGATTACGCCGGTTCCATGAATGGAAACTACTTTCTGATCATGGTCGATGCTTACAGCAAGTGGCCGGAGGTTGTTAGAACCAATGTAACGACGACTTCCCGAACCATCGAGCTGATCCTGCAAGCTTTCGCTCAACATGGCCATTGCGACATTATTGTATCGAATAATGGCCCTCAGTTTGCTTCAATGGAGTTTGAGAGGTTCTGCAAATCATTGGGGGTAGAGCACATTCGAACCGCTCCTTACCACCCGCAATCGAATGGGCAAGCTGAGAAATTTGTCCACTTGCTCAAGACCGGACTGAAGAAGTCCAAGGGAAACATCGACCAAAAGCTACTCGAGTTCCTCTCCTGCTATCGTTCGACTCCATCGTACGGCCTCGGCATGAAAACACCAGCAGAGGTCCTTAACGGCCGCACAATGAAAACGAGACTCGATGTGCTGAACCCTTCCGGCCCGCACCAGGGACTGGCCGACTCCAAAATGGCGCAACAATTCAACGGTCACCACGGTGCAAAATGGAAGGAATTTGTAGAAAGAGACGGCGTCTACTATCAACTCCATCGCTCAAACGATTCATAGGAATGGGTTCCAGCGACAGTGATCAAAAAGTGCGGCACTGTCAACTATCAAATTCAAACCGAATCAGGCCGAGTTATCAAAGCACACTCAAATCAGCTGAAGCTGCGCCACAATAAGGGCGCATGATTAGATGCTCCCCAATTTCTCGACGCCGCCGCGCCGACGACACAAGCGAGGAAGTTGCGCCGGAACAAAACACCATAGAACAATCCCAAGATGACATCAATCAAGAACCAGAAAATCGCGATGACCCGGAAACATTTGAGGGAAGTACCGACAATTCAAATGTCTTTGAGGATGCCTTGATGAATGACGAAGAAGGGAATCCAAATGAGGAGGTTCAACAGATTCCTGACACCCGCCGACACTCTACACGCTCGAATTTCGGCGTGCCTCCCAGGCGCTATGGTTTTGACGAGTTCCAGTCTTACAATTAGTAGGGAGGAATGTGGTGATGTATCGTGCGTACGCATTAAAGTCACTAGATATATAAAGTACCGCAATCCATAAGACCACTGTATAAGGATTTGGAGCCAAAATGGCGTCGAAAAGTGTACATAGTGCACAACTTACTACACATTAAGTGTAACTGTCCTAACCGCATTCCATGTGCAAAACCAACTTTATTAGAGAAATCCATAGTAGATCAGGATCCCAGTGAGAAATGATTTGTCGATCGATGTCGATTTGATGTCGAAACGACATCAATGTCCTCAATTTCAGATCAACTCTGTATCAGATGCACGAGAATTTATGGCACGCCGTTTTGCTATTTATTAATAAAATTTCTTAATCTGAAATAAAAATTCAATAATTTATTTAAACTGAAGTAGATAATTTTTCGGAAACATTTTAATTATGTCATGACATAATAAAAATGAATTAAAATTATGTCTTAATATAAAATTAATTCAAAATACAAAATTTTATTAAGAAATATTAATAAATAGCAAAACGGCGTGCCATAAAACAGCGTGCTATAAAATTTATGTGGAATTACTTATACATATGTCAAGACATAATTTTAATTCATTTTTTTAATGGTATGAGATAATATTAATGTATTTTTGTTATGTCGTAACTTAATAATAATTGCAGGCATATAAATTATGTAAACTATAATAGTAATTCAATGAATTAAAATTATTCTATGACATAATAAAAATTCATGAATTAAAATTATGTCATGACTTAATGGAATTTAGATGAATAAAAATTATGCCATTACATAATAAAAATTGAAAATTAGAATTACATGCTACTAAAATTTTAATCCTAAATTTTACAATAAATTTTTAATCGAAAGAAATTTTTATTTTGTTAAGACAATATTTATTGAGAATTTCCATTATGTACATATTTTTAGTTCTCGAATTTTTATTATGTACATAATTTTAATTCGTGAACTCTTGTAGGAATTATAATTCCTCGTACTTGATGTCTACGTGTCCCAGGTTGCCGATGACGAGGTTCAGATAGTGTGCTCCGTAGTTTTCAGTACCTAGATGTGTTAATACTTTAAATTCTAATCTGGACATGTAGACATCGAATTCAGAGAATTAGAACACCTAGACACCAAAAACTACACTGTCTGGGTCCCGTCATCGGTGATCTGGGATACGTAGATATCAAATTCAAAGTATTAATACGTCTAGACACCTGAATACGGAGTGCGCTGTTTAAACCTCGTCATCGGCGACCTGGGACATGTAGGCATCGAATACGAGGAATTATAATTCCTACGAGAGTTCACGAATTAAAATTACGTACATAATAAAAATTCGGGAATTAAAATTATGTACATAATAAAAATTCGGGAATGAAAATTATGTACATAATAAAAATTCCAGAATAAAATTATGTACTTAATAAAACTTCGGGAATAAAAATTATGTACATAATTTTAATTCCTGAAAAATTTTTGTTATAACATAAAATAAATTCAGAATTAATATTTTGTCTAGACATAATTTTATTTCTGCATTTTTAATCATATGATAGCTTAATAATAATTCGATGAATTATAAATATTTCTAGTCATAATTATAATTTCTTTTCTTTTAGTATCAATTTAATGTGGTAGAATTTTTATGATAGTATTAAATAGCAAAACAGCGTGCCATAAGAATTTAAGCAGGCATTACGCCTTATTTCTTTATCACAATTTCAAACCACTAAAAATAGCAATTATTCTACTGTTGATGCAGATCATCTTATACAATACTGCAAAGAAATTAAACAGTTGGAACGTACAAATATCTCTGGAGACGTACAATGTCTCGAGAGTATTGAAAATGACGACATCCATAGGATATCGTCAGGGTTTGGAAGTAACGCGTTACTTGTAACGCCGTTACCGTTACAGTTACTTTTTTTTGGTAACGAACTGGTAACGCCGTTACATTTTTTTTCTTGTAACTGTAACGGTAACGTAGTTACATTTTTTCAGTAACGGTAACGAATTTAACAGTTACTTTTATCGTTACCTTTTATATTTTTAACCTATGACAATTTTCGTAAGCAGCGTTTCTTATTGGCGCTGCCATTTTGTACATAAGTCACGTGCACCAATCGACCAATCACGCGAACTCTGTCGTCCAATCTCTATGGGCGGTATTCATAGTCGGGTCCAGAGATGCAAACTTTGGGTTCAGAGCACCATCAAAGTGTTACACTCGGTACTCACTCACACAGGCGCAACCGTGTCAGTGTGCTGCGAGAGACTCTATAATAGAGTATCAGCTTTTATTAAAAATAAATAAGCAATATTGATAAAATTTAACGCGTTTATATTTTGTGATCCAGATAACCCTACCCAGATAGCACCGAATGTTCCATGAATGTTTGTATATGATTCGAATGTTCTCTCTCAGGAATATTCGCATGGATGTGCCGTGAATGTTTCTAGAATGTTCTTCATATTCTATGAACATTCACACAGAATGTCCAGGGAATATTCGCATTAAATGTTCCCTGAGTGTCTATGGCATATTCTGAATGTTCTATGAATATATTCTTACAGAATGTACGTGGAATGTACACATGGAATTTTCTACGGATATTCTTACTGAATATACGTGGAATATTAGCAGCGTATGTGCTACGAATGTTTATGGAATGTTGTAAATGTACTATGTAAAACGTGCGCCAGCTTCTGAGTAGTTCACCGACCGCCGCTAGGCCGCGCATGGTGGCGGCCAAAAACTCGGAAGCAAAATTCAGTCTCGTAGGGTATAAAAGGAGGCCCGCGAGACTGAATTTTGTTTCCGAGTTTTTGGCCGTCACCAATGTCACCATGCGCGGCCTAGCAGCGGTCGGTGAATACTCAGAAGCTGGCGCTCACGCGCCCGCGCGCGTGTCGCGTAGTGCCGGTTGCCAATTTGTGCCGGCTAAAATCAAGAGGGAACCACTAAAAAATAGAATACTTTTCTTTGGGTGAAATATCTACAGCACATTACTGGAATATTTGCTGTATATTCCAGGAACATTCATAGAAATATCTACAGCACATTACTAGAATATTTGCAGTACATTCGTGTACATTCGTAGCACATTCAGATGAACTCTAGAGATGTTTCTAGAACTTTTGAAGTGCTCCGTTGGTACATTCTATAAATATGCCTCGAACGTATAAAACGACTATTAGAAGATTCCTGGAATCTTCGAATGTTCTTGGCGTATATTCCTAGAATGTTAATGGAATGTTTTTGTGCTATTTGGGTATATAATTCTTGTATTATTCAGATAATCCTATATTCCTATATTCAGATTATTTAAATAATTCTATATCTTAAATCTAGATGACTCTTATTATATGTGATATATCATATATTTTAGGAATAATAGTAAGTTTAAAATTATTAAAACTTTTAAATAAATTGAATTTTTGTGGTCTTGCGATATAAAATATTGTGGTAAAACGTAAATGATAACGAAACGTAAAGATTGAAATCAAGTCTCTTTATTCCGCCTATCTCTTAAGCGTGTTGGTAACTGACTGGCGACGCGTCCCGATTTTGTTGTTCATCCGCTGTCTCTTGTCTTGTTGATCGCCTAGGGGACACGCCGCGACTCGTATACCCCGTGATCGAGGCATCGAGACTTCGCTTCTAGACTCTTACTTCGCTTCTAGACTCTTACTACAATTCGGCCAGCCTGACATTAGGCCGTCCTCGGCCGTCCAATCGGCACAATTAAAATCTTAACTTAAAATCTAAACATAACTTCCGGATAGACATGGTACTGACCTTAAAACTAAACGCTGTATATAATTTTTATGTCCGCATTTGAACTGAACAATTACTGAACAATTTCAATATAAGATATTAAATATTTATACTTCTATATTTCTATATATCTATACTTCTACCTCTTCTACTCTGCCCCTTTTTTTCTAGTCACTATCTAGCTCTATCTGTCGATGATCATTTTGTTCATCTGACTCGACCCTTTTCCAAGGTTTCATGTTGGACACTTCCCATGTGCCCTTGTACGGTCTTTGCGACAATTGACATCCTTCAACGTCCGCCACTATGTACCTATCATTTCGCAGTCGCTTCAAGACGCGGTACGGTCCTCGATACGACGGTACTAGCTTTCCTCCTGTAGACTCAAAATTCTTTACTACTACAAGATCGCCTTCCTCGTATTCGCGTGCAATCTTCCGCTTGTCGTTTGTAACACGTTCGTTATACAATCGCGCTTTCTCAATCTTTTCCGCCGCCCTTTCTCTAGTTTTATCTAGGTTCCTGGGTTCTTCTTCGTCTAGATCTGAAATGAACTCCTTTAACTGGTCTATTACATGTCCCCGCTGCTTAACGCCATATAACAATACACTAGGGGTTTTCCCAGTCGTTCTACTAACAGTATTGTTTATGCTAAATTCGATTTCGTGTAAGGATTTGTGCCAATCCTTACCCGTATACAATTTACCTAATATAGGAGTCAATATACGGTTGTAACGCTCTACCTGTCCGTTCGCTTGGGGGGATCCTGTTGCG